TAGCCAAAGGTTTGTCTATCTAATTTATTCTTTTGAAGAACTAGCTTCTGGTTTTATTAATTTTTTGCATTGCTTTCTTGATTTCTATATCATTGATTTTGCTCCAGTTTTTATTTTCTTCCTTTTGCTGTGCAATTTTGCTATGACTTGTTATTGTGTTCTTTAGTTCCTCCAGTTCATTTTGTAAGGAATTTGTCATCCTCTGTATTAGTTCTTCTTTGAATTTTCTAAATTTCTCCTCTAGTGATTGTTTAATTTCACTGTCCGATGCTTGCTTAATTTCAATAGCCAATGTGGTGAGTGTTGATTTCAGGTCCTCATTGACCACTTTTAACAGTTTTTAATAGGCTTGAGGATTTGCCTAGGTTTCTATCTCTGTCCGATACAGCAGATGGGTCCTTTAGGTTCCCAATTGTACTTTGAGTTTTATGTGGGTTAAAGTTGGAGGTTCAGATTCCCAGTTACTTAAGAACTCCTATGTTCAGTTGTTTATACCAGAGGGCTACTGATTATACCTCTGCTGTTTAGATTATTTCCTTGACTATGTAGTGTTACTAGACTATCGCAAGGTAGTACTGAATTAGTCACTCTGTTTAACTGAATATGATATAAGACTGTATAAGGTTAGTGAAGTATGGTCGTTGCATCCACTGGGTTCAATATGAAGAGTGTGTTCTGAAATAATCTCATATGATTGCTTGTTTTGGGTGCAGAGAATTAGAACTGACAAACAGTATGGCTCCCTGATCTAGGGGCTACAGTTGGAGAGGAATGAGCCCTTGGGGTCCCAAGTCTGAGACTTTCTGTCCAGAGCCTGGCCAAGGTGTGAAGGAAAGGTAGGTGGAGCCCCAGTGCCCAGAAACACATCTCCCCACCAGGCATGATCCTCAGTACAAAAGGCAAGAATTTGCCTTAGCACTGCCAGGAGTTCCCCCGCACCCCACTCCCCCAACAAAAAACACACAAAACAAAAAAGATGAAATTCTGAATAGAGCTGGATGGGATCATGTCAAGCAAAGTAAGTCAGAGGTAGCACTGTAGCAATGTCCTCCCACTGTTCATCAATTTGCTCCAGAGGGTACCAGTAACGTCTCACAACAAATTGTGAGATTTGTTGTTATTGATTTTGCCATATTGAATACGTCACAGGTAGCTTGCCAGGCTTTGCTGTGAGGGCGGGATACTCTCAGTAGCTTGCCGAGCTCTCCAAGAGGGGCAGAAGAATTGAACCCGGGTTGGCTGTGTGCAAGGCAAACGCCCTACAAGCTATGCTATTGCTCCAGCCCAAGTCAGAGGTAGAAGGAGAAATATCAGATGATTTCTCATCTATGATATTGTAAGACACAAACCAAGGAGAACTATGACAAATCCTTGGTCTTGGATTACAAAACTGATTACCAAGCAGTAGGAGAGTGGGAAGGGTAATAAAGGCAGTAATAAGGCAGTAAATAAAGGTAATAAAGGCAGTAAAGAGGTAAACTAGATGTAACTTAAAGACACTGGTGAAGGATCTTGGGCACTTTGGAAGTAGTGAGGGACAGTATCTTTGTACATCAAAATCATGTACTTTAACACTATTGTATCTATAACTGAAACATATACTAGGACCTAATATCACCCAATTCTTTCCTTAAAGTCCCAAAGAAAAATCAAATTATAATCAAGAGGCAAGTACATTCTCAGAATGAGCAATCTCAAAGATTAAATAATTTTCATGGTATCGTATGCTTCAATATAGGAAATTAATCAGCAGTTAAGTTACCTAGTTAATCTGGATGCCATTTTCTGAGTGATAGCAAGGTAATGACATACTAATTCTTGTTCCCCTGAAAACTCTTTTTTCATTAGGTTTCCCCAGAAACTTTTTTATCATGCTAAACACAGTTTTTGCCTGGCCTCAAAACAAATATTTAAGTTTTAATTCTCTTTCATAAAATGCTTTCATGGCCCCTACCATATCTCAACTCCCTGATTTAAATTACTGTGATTGTTTTGGGTGTTAAACCACTTATTGATTATAACTAGTTTCATTCAGAGGCTAATCCTAGGTGAAGTTCAAACGGGCACTGTGGATCACCAGCACCTAAATACATACAGACATAAATTCCTGTTAGAAAATTATATGAAAGTAAAAAAGAATCAAATGACACATAAATGTAGAAGCACATTACTGTAGATTACTCTTGCTGAGGGACTGGATAACACCTTCCATTGCAGTCAAGAGTGATGAAGATGACCAGTGTAACAATAATATCCGTAGAGAATCACAAAACCAAAACCCAGAGTTCCTTTAAAAAATCTGGAGTGAACAGCAAAAAATCATGTTTTGAATCTTTAAGAGTTTCAGATATACTCTATAGCTCTCCTCCATACCACACTCAAGTAATTCGTATACTAAGTATGGTTAAGATTTTCTTGTAACCACGATTTCTCTAGGCTAAATCCTTTTAAAAAAAAAAAAGTTCAGCCTAATTAAAAAATTTTAATGTAAATTCTTTAGATGACTTTTCATCCAAAATGTTTGTTTTATAGTAAATAAATAAATGATATTGGGACTAAAATAATTTTTAAAAATTAACACTAAAATTTTTTAAAATGTAAACAAAAATTTGAAAATTAAACAAATATGTGCAATTTTTTTACAAAAAATGTTCCATGTGTAAAACTTTTTATTATATTTTTCAGGTAGCTTTTATAACAGGCAAATCTATTAACTAAACATAATCAATATCTTTGATTTCAGCCACAACAAAGATAATCTAATTTAACAGCATGGATACTTTCTCTACATTTTCAACTCTAAAGAAATACAAAAATGATCCATGAAGTAATTGCAAAATTAGTTCTCTTTTCCATTTTACAAACAAAAAAACAAAATAATGATATCATTATACAGCCAGGCTTCAAAGTTTCTCCTACTTATACTAGACATATTTTAGAAGCACATAATTTGAAGATTTCTATGTTGATAAGAAAAATTATTAAAACTATAGAATTATTTAAATATATACACACACAGGCACACACACCTGCCAAGTCTCTACCCTTAATCAATAATCATGAAACTATTCATTCACGAACTTGTGAAAAAAAATGCCCCTCCTACTGTACCTAGCTAACTTTTGCTTACATCTTAGGTCTGAGCTGCTATTTACCTTCTTACCAAGGCCTTCAACAAATCAAACCCTATGGAAAACAGTAGGGAGGTTTATCAGAAAAGCAAGACTAAGAGCTGCCATGTGACCCAGTAATTCCACTTCTTGGTATCTACTCCCAATACACTAAAACATCCATTCAAAAAGAATTATACACAAGGTTATTCATTGTAGCATCCAGCACAACAGCAAGGACACAGAATCAACTGACATGTAAAAAATAAAAGAATATATACACAATGGAATACTACGCGGCTACAAGGAACAGTGAAGTCATACAATTTGCTGTAACCTGCAAGGAACTAGAAGATATCATGTTATTTGAAGTAAGATAGAAGAAGGAAAAATACCAGATGATCTCACTTATCTGTAGTATATAGGATAAAGAAAGAGGGAATGAAAGGTAACAAAAGGGGATAGCGATATTACCCTTAACCCAAGATTACAAAATGTGAATAAGGAAGGAAAGAAATCAAGAGAAGAAAGAAAAGACAGATGGGAAGTAATAGGGGTAAGGGGCTTTGGGCACATAGGTGGCGTAAAAGTGTAGTGTGTGTCTGTGTGTGTGTGTGTGTATATCTATGTATATACATGTATGCATATATATGCAGTATATAATATATGTAGCATATAGTATATCTAAACTACCGAGTCAACAATACTGCAAGCATGAAATCCAAACTACAACAATCAAACTTTAAAAGATGCCGTTCGGGGGCTGGAGTGATAGCACAGCGGGTAGGGCGTTTGCCTTGCATGCGGCCAACCCAGGTTCGATTTCCAGCATCCCATAGGGTCCCCTGAGCACCGCCAGGAGTAATTCCTGAGTGCAGAACCAGGAGTAACCCCTGAGCATCGCCAGGTGTGACCCAAAGAGCAACCCCCCCCCCAAAAAAAAACTGCCTCCTTTCAAGGAGGCAGTCACATAGGTGGGAGGGAACCTGTGGACACTGTGGAGGGAAGTCAACAATGGTGGGGGGATTGGTGTTAGAACACTGTACAGCTGAAACTCAACTATGAATATCTACATAAATCAAGGTGCCTTAAAATATATTTTAATCTTAAATGTAAAAAATAAATAAATTCAGATTTGGTGTCCTAGTTAAGTTCTCCTGATAGCATTTTGTACACCTACCTATAAAGTCATTCAAACACAATGTATTATAACTAGCTGGTAGTATCTGGTACAGAGACACTCAAATATTTGGTGAAAAGAAAGGTTAAACCTAAGTTGTCAGAATAGCATCAAGTGATAGAAGTCAACTGTTCAGATCAAACTGCAGCTATAAATAAGGGGTGGGGTGGTGGCAAAGATAGGTTAGTCACAGGTGAGAGAACAATTAATGAGTATACTCTCTTATGAAAGAAAAAGGCTTTGCAAAACTTTCTGAAGTAGCATGACAGTCAAACATGACAGTAAGACTATATATGTCTATATAATGACATATCAAACTATTCATTTTTATAATGACATATTATAAAATATTCATTTAAATATTAAATGAATCCCACTGAGGGTGATACTGGTGTTGCAACACTGCATGCCTGAAACGATTCTATTATAAACAGCTTCATAAATCAATTTTTAAACATCTTAGAAAATTACATGAATTAACGTAAAAGAATAGATATTTAATTTTAAAAGTTATTGGAGGATCAGAGCGCTATTTGTAAGGACTATTGAGCATTTATTTTCTTAGGTTTAATCCACCTGGTCCAAACAGCATTGCCAGGAGATACCCCCAACTACATAGCTGAAAATATCCCGAGCCCTGCTGGATGTGTCCCTCCAATAAACAATAAATAAAAATTACTAGGATGACTCATATATTAGAAAAATCTTACCTGTCATGGGTTCAAAGAGCTGATTAGCTTCTAAGTCTGTAAAAGTACTACTACAAACAGGACATTTGAAGGAAGCCCGATTGGTGGAATCTCTCTCATCAGTTTCAATCCTCCTTCTCATGTGATCCAACTTGTATTTTACCACATTAACAAGAGTGCGATAGTTAATGAAGTAGTAATTATGGCGAGTAGTTTTCCCATCTGCAGCAGTCTCCACTCTCATTCTGCATTTGATGAACTTGTCTCCCTTTAAATTATTCAAAACTGAACGAAGCTGCTTCCTGTCAAACTTGAGTAGCTCCAGCATATCCTCCTCTTTCACACAGGGGTTTCGGATCAAGATGTCCAAAGCCAAGGCATGTTCAATGCCATAAAACCCACGAATTACATACTTGGCTAATCTCTTCAGTGCGGCAGGAACCTCGGTGAGAACATCTGGGTCTGCCATCTTGAGCAGCAAACTTCACCTTTTGATATACTGAATTCAGGGGAGAAAGGAGAGATGATCAAACAGGCTACAGGACACTGCAATCATTGATAATCATTAATGGACATTTTAAAATCCAAAATAGTCACTCCTTCGTTTGCAGCACCACCATCTTTACAGTGCTACAAAAATACTCAGAATTTGTTTTAAGCACTATAAAGTCAAAGTATTTAATAGAGAACAAGAGTACACAAAAATATTATACCCAAAAAGGCTGTTTCTAAAATGGTTACTTTCATGATTTATAGTATGCATGACTGCAAAAAGTAATCTACTGCTCATAACAATATGCCACGCCTACCTTAAATCAGAAAGAAAAACGAAAAGGTAAGTGAAATCTTTTATATTTTTGTTGTTGCTATTATTTATTTTTTGGTTTTTTGAGTCACACCCATTGGCTCTGAGCCTGAGTAGGCATCACTCCTGGCGAGGCTAGAGGAACCATACGGCGTGCCAAACCTGAACCCTAATGGGCTGCATGCAAGGCAAGCATCCTACCTGTTGTAAAGCTGTGCCACAAACTCTTATATTCTTTTTTTTGGGGGGGGGAGGGAGAAGCACACTTTTTAGCTTTTGGGTCACATCGGCAATGCTCAGGGATTTCTCCTAGCTCTGCACTCAGGAAATTATTACTGGCAGTACTCGGGAGACCACAGAGGATAATGGAGATCGAACCCGGCTCCACTGAGTGAAAGGCAAACACCCTATTGCCTATCATTGTTCCGGCCCCCAAATTCTTCTATTCTTAATGAAACAGATCTTTGGGAATGCTGAAAACCCTGAGAAATTAGCAGCTGGCATATTCTTAATAGTGTCTTTACTACTTTTGTTGAGTAAAAATTTTCTACTAAGATACTTTACATAGTCTCCTAATAAACACATAAGTAATCACCAGTTGGGTGTTTGGAGAAATTACTATAATAAATCTGAAAGAAATTAGCATTAAGATTCTAAGAGCTTTAACAACCTTATAAAGTTATATTAGACAACCAATTAAGTAAACAGCATACAAATTAAAAAAGAAAGGGGGAAAACAGTGTAAAATATCCTTAAATTCCAGAATTACGGGGGCAAAGCAGAAGCAAAAGAAGCCCAAACTAACATAGGGACTAAAATTTACATGTAGTTGGGGCCTGAGTGAGTAGCACCTTTGCCTTGCATATGGCTGGCCCAGGTTCGATCCCTGAGCATGAATCCAGGAGTAAGCACTGAGCACAGATGGTTGTGGCCCCCAAACGAACAAACAAAATAGGAAAAAATAAATAAGATTTACATGTAGTGTCAAAAAGTCTAGGCTTTGGAATTCAGAGTTAGTCAATCACACTTTACTCTTTGAGAAACAATAACTATTTCAATACTCATTACATTGTTGTAATGAGTAAATGAGAATATAAGTAATATACTTAGGAAGGACTTGTTAACACAGAGTTTCAGATCAACTTATTATGTCCCAAATTAAAACTGGCAGGGCTGTCCACACAGACTATTTCAAGTAAAATGTGTCTATACCACAGGGAAATTTTTAACAAACATTCCACTGAAATATTTCAATGAGATCATATTCGATTATTAATACTAATTCTAATAAACTCCTATTTGAAATTCGTGGTTATTAACTATCAAATTTAATACCTTGACAATAAATATCTTTAAATCCCAGTATTGTATTAAGAGACATTTCTAAATAACCAAAATATATATACATATCTGGGAAGAATATAATGTTCTACATGTCATAAAGGAAAAATTAGTTATAATAAAGCATTTATTTCAGACTCCAAATGCTCAGGCATATGACAAGAAATTACAGCACAGCACTTAACCTAACCCGTGCTTTTAGAATCTTCCTATAACTTTAAGTCTAGGGTTATTAAGCAAGTGTCTAGATTCAATGCCAAAAGAATACATAGCAGACTACTGGGACACACTTTGTTCTTCTATCTAATTGTCTATACATTTTATTTGAATTAAGCTTTGGTTTTCTGTTTCACATGCTAGGGAGTGGGCACATAAAACAAATAAATGACTTTAGAAACATTCAAGAGATCAAAAGATGAATACTACTCAAAATAACCTACAATTCCAGTCTTATCTGCTACTACTGTATTCCCTCCCTGTTCTTCCACCCCAGAGACTCCATTTTCCATATCACTGATTCTCAACCCTGCCTATAAAGAATCATCTGGGGACTACTTAAAAATACCTTCCCTGGGCTCCATTCCCAGAGATTCAGTTTCAGCAGGTCTAGAAGGCCAGATTAGCCTTCATCTTATTTAAAAGATTTCTTTGACCAGACAAATTGGATGTTTGGCATTACAAATTCTCCCATTGCACATCAGATATGGGAAAGGTCTCCACCTAAAATTCAACGCGTTTCCTTGCCCAAAAAATATATAGGGACCTAAAGATTTAAGGGAGCGACATGAGAACTCTGAAGTCTAATGGTTTGGGGTTTTGTATCCCAGTCCACCATTTCTTAGCCTGAAAAATACTCCAACCTGTTTCCTTATATATTTAAAAGTGACTGGGACCAGATAGGTAGTACAGGGGTTAAGGTGCAGGCATTGCATGGAGCCAATCCTGGTTCTATTTCTTGCACCACATACTGTCCCAGTGATACATGGAGCCTTGGAAGCCTCCAAGTGTTACAGGTGGCCCAGGTAATCCCTGACACCAGATGTGCCTCACAGCACTGAATTGGACCCTTACACTGAACCAGCAATTGGCTGAGAACTCCTGGGAGGTGTCCCCCCCCCCCCCCGGCCCCGCAAAGTGATTAATGCTTTCCTCATGAGTTAATGTATGGAATGAGATTATTTATGTAAAGTGTTCTGCATTTAGGACTGACATTGAAAGTTCTGTAAATACCAGCATTCATAAGGTCCCAGGTTATAAACTATTACAACATGAATGAATTTAGTGAAGATGGAGGCACTGAGAAAATAATAGGATCTATAGTAATCACACCAAAACTAAGGAAGAGAGACAAATATTCTAAGAGGATGAGATGAAAATAATTTATTACAATAAGAAAACCAAAAGAACTCTATAATCTCTAGGAAATGGGGTACCACAGTAATAACTTTTTTAAATATCTCTTTTCCCCCATCTTTGTGGTAAAATACATGTAACATAGTATTAGCCCATTACCCATTATTAAAATTTCAGTGTATTATTAAATACATGCATAACACTGTGCAACTATCACTACCATCCATTTCCATAACTCTTCATTTTGTAATATTGAAATATTCTACTCTTTAAAAAATAGCATAGTGTAATATATAACCCAGTAACAACTTAAAGCTGTTTGGGGACAGTGGAATTCTTCCTAGAAAAAATTTTACTAAGAGAAATATCTGAAGAGGAACTGGTTTGGAAGGATAAAGAACATACTTTTAAGCTACTTGCCTTTTATAATGTTACAGATTATTACTGTGAAAATGCCTAGCACGTAGCTGAACAACTGAAAGTTCAGGAAAGAAGTTAAAAAATCTCTACGTTCTAAAAATCTCCTCCTATCTTTCCTCCTCCACAGTGACCTACCTCGGATGAATCCCTTACTCAGTCTCTGGATTTCTTAAATTACTGAAGTCACAGATTTCTGATTTGCCTTTGCCAGAATAACAGCAAATGCTCTAAAATGCTTCAGAATTTGTCTTTCAGAATTTAAAACTCTAGATTTCACATAATTTTCAACTTTTAACCTCCTGAAAACTGGCAATACTGAAGAAAAAAGGTGAAAACAAGTTCCTAGGTGGGAAGTAGCTGAAGAACAGCTTGGATGGCCTCTGGGGACCTTTGAATGAGTGAATTTTGAGGGCTAAATCTTGTATCTTCTTTTAAAAATTTTTGTTTTGGGGTGACAACTGGCTTTACTCGGGGGCTATTACTGGCTCTGCACTCAGAAATTACTCCAGGCTGTGTTTGGGGGACCACATGGAATGCCAGGAATCAAACTCAAGTATTCTCTCTGTAGTCCTGTTTCTTCATTTTAGCATCACAATCTATTAGTCGTGTCCCAACCTCGTTCTACCTCCCCAATCAGCTCCAGAGCACTAAAGGTAAAGCTGCTTTTGTTCTGAAGTATATTTCAAACATTTAAGAACTACAGTGCATCAGGGCAGAGTTGGGGAAGAACACCTGTTTTATGTTTGTTTTTATAGGAAATAGTAGTCTGTAAGGCCTTCCTTTGCATATTCCCAAAGCAGATTCCCTCCCTGGGCATCCCATACCCCAGCATGGCCAGGAGTGATTCCTGAGTGCTGAGCCAGAAATAAGCCCTGAGCATGGTTTCCAGTGGCCAAAATCCAAAATGGAGAAAAAAAAAAAAAAAGAATACCCTCTCTGGGTCCAAAAAAAGAATGCCCTCTCTGCACTGTCTACACTCACATCCAGCCACACTGAGATTCTCCTAATTCCATGAACCACACTCTGCTCACTCCTCCCTTTTGCTTTTAAGCTGAGGGAGCAGCATGTTTCTCCACATTATCTAATTATTCCTTACATCTCAGTGACATTACTTCAGAGACACATCCCCTTTCACACGCTCCATCAATTTTGCCACTTTTGAAGCGAATATACTTTCTCCCTGCTTAAGGCCGGGGACTTACACCTGTTCCACAATGACTTATGAGTACCCCAGCAAGCGAGCCAGCTAGCCACGTGTTCCTCTGAAACTTTCAGGCGATTTCCTCCACACATGTTCTGCCAACATGCCCGCCATACCAGCTTCCTCCCCATTCTGACACTGACTGAAAAAAAGAACCTCAACCTTCAAATTGTCTTAAAGAGGGGGAAATTCCTGATTCTTAACAACTTTGCTAACAGCTGGTTGTCAAAGAAGAGGAAACGGGGCTGGACGAGGGGATCCCAGGGAGAGTTCCAGTTTTCTACTGAAACCCTTGGGTTCCACACCCCTCGCCGGCTTCCTCGGGAACCATAGTGCAAGCTCTCCTCACGCCTCCCTACAGAAGGCGGCGTGTACCCGAACCCTCGGGGCCAGCCGCCCTCCACGACTCTGGCTCGGCCATCCTGACCCTCCCCACTTGCAGGCCCCGAACCCTACATCCAGAAACCCAGGTGCCACCTTCAGCGCATCCGTGTCCGTCCTACCCGAGGCCGCACACGGGCCGCTCCTGGGTCAGTGGTTCTGAGGAGGCCCGAGAGGAGGACCTCGGCGAGAGAATCTGAGAGAAGAGGGCAACGGGAAGGGGCAGAAATGCGACGCCGAGCCGAGGAACCGAGTACAAGGAACAGGGAACGGAGTTTACCCAGGCGGACCGGCGAACACTCCCACCACAGCTTCCCTGCAAGCCTCAACCATCGACTTTAATGAGCCACGCCACTCGAGCGACAACGGAGACGTCTTACTCCTGCGACCGGCCGGGGAGACCTCCGCTACAATGAACCTGGCCGGCCCATCAGCCGTCAGTCAAAACTGTCCCGCTGCCATTGGCCAATGGAATGGAAGGTTCGGCCCCCCAGCCCCAGCCTGATTGGCCCACGGTCCAGGAACGGGCGTTAGCCCCGGTCGGGCAAAGGCAAGATGGCGTCCCTGGATCGGGTGAAGGTGCTGGTCTTGGGAGACTCAGGTGAGCGACTTAAGCCACTGCTGGGGCTCCTGACACTTTCGAGTTATCCGATCACCTGCCCCCTACACTGCTTTATTCCCTCAAACGGCTCGTCGGCTTGTGGCAGCAATCCCTTTCGAGACCCAAAGACTACACTTCCCAGAGGACTTTGCTCTGTCGGACGAATCGGTGGCGTCGCGCGGGCGGGGGTCGCGGCGGTCCAGCCCCTCTCCGCCTTCTGGGCTCTGTTCACGTTCGTTTCCTGGGTTACCTTATCCTGGATTGTGTTGCAAAATCTTCGTCTTGGAAAGATGTACAGATCCTGAATATTAGGCATCTGTCAGGGTTCCAGAAGTTAGTATCTGTGATAGATTTTTTGTTTATAAAGAAACCGATGGCATAGAAAGATTCATCTTTTTATGACATCTTATCGCATTCCTACTTTGGATAAACGTGCAGGCTATCGAATGTAGCCTGCCCACAGGGCAGAGTCTGGCAAACTCCCCGTGGCGTACCAAATATGCCAAATACCAGTAACAATGATGGGTCTCATTCTCCTAAAGAGCCTTGAATATAATCTCAGGGCTAGGATGAAGGAGACGTTACTGGGGCCTGCTCGAGGCAAATCGACGAATAATAGGATGATGAAATGAAAAAAACAATGAAATGAAAAAGAAACCGAACACACTAGAAGTGATGTTGCTTCAAAGTGGTTTCATGTGTTCTCTCAGTGATGGCATGAGTCCATTTTGCAGAAGAGCAAATTCTTGAGGGGCTTGAATGATAGAACCGGTTTGAACTCAGAATCTGTGCACTTAAGCGTCAAATTATATTATGACTCGAAAGTTTGGTAATAATTCTGCTTTCAGCGAGGCTTCTAAATGTTTTGCTCTAGTATTAGTTGAAAACTCCAGGTTGTAAGAGATGTAGAGATTAAGATAAATGCCAAATTATGATGCAACTAATGCTGAGCTCAGTTTAATCCTAGATTTCAAACTCGTTATGGTTTTAGTGTCTTTGACATTTGAGAACTAGAAGTCCGCATTCGCCCCTCAAATAGCACGATATTTTCTCAACACAATCTTTCTCCCATGCTTAAGGGCTTGGAATTTGATAATTTTACGTTTCAAACATGGACTTTTCTGAAGTTGGCCTTTGAATTCGAGAAATGTGTGCTGAAAATACTGGCATTGCTCCAGAAGCTTGACGTTGGGAAGGATATATGGGGGGGGGGGGGGGGGTTGAAAAGTAGCTTTGCAGAACTGCTCCAAATGGGGGGAGGGGGTTGAAACTGTTGAAACTCTCTCTCTCTCTCTCTCTCTCTCTCTCTCTCTCTCTCTCTCTCTCTCTCTCTCTCTCTCTCCCCCCTCAAAAAATGGAAAGAATTATAACCTTTAAACGTTGCATTTAGAAATTCTGTGGAAGTAATTAATTTATGCTGACTTTAGTTCTTTGACTTGAAGTGCTACTGCAATTAGTTTAATAAATCACAGTATGTTATGCATTAGGAAAATAATGGCAGTTTAAAGAGATGATGCAAAAGTATCCATAAGTAGAATTTTGATTTAAAATTAAGAACTTGTACAGTTCTTTATGATTTGTGACTTGGACATCCTCTCTTTTCTATATTTTACTTTTATATTGCATTTAATATTGTTTTCATGTTACACATTGCTGGAACTGCTCAGTTAAAACCCAAAATAAAACACTTGCCTGTGGTTACCGACCAGGCTACTATATTAAGTTCTGTTGTTTTAAATTTGGAATCAGTGATTCCTAACAGGGTTGAGTTGTGTGTTGCATTAAGTGTAGAAAATTGACCAAGTAATAAGTAAGCTTTCTTTTCAGTTCTTTTAATTTAGTTGTTAAAACACAAGACATAGCTGTGCTTACCCCGAAACTGACTGAACATTCACTGATGTATAGTGTGTGTTCAAAGTCAGTTATTGCCTTTTTATTTTTTATCACTTCCTGTTTAAAAACTATTTACTCTCTGTTATTTTAGAATATGCTTCTTACACTGTATCTGCCTTTGTATTCAAACTTCAAATTTTACTTTTGAATAAAGGCTTATTTCCCCTTTGAAATTTTGAAGACACTGTTTTGTATCTCATAGAGATATTTGATGATTTGATAATGAATCCTGAATGTCTCTCTATCTTGCACATACACATTTCTATTCTTTCAGAATTAAGGGAAGAACTTATCACATTACACTCTATTTGAAACTGGTATTTATTTCATTTTATTGGGCCTTCTTCATCATCTTCCTCTTTCCATCAAATCTAGTGCTTTCGTTTTATCTAATTTAGTCCTATGATGAAAATAATTTCAGAACTTTCTATAATTTTTAAAGAAATTGTTAACTATTCTGGCACTTAAATTGTTCTTACAGTTTAGAGATCATTCAGTGTTAGCTAACTCTTATCAACCAAAGCAGTTAATTAATGGAGCACATACACAATTGCTGCACGAAGACGCTTATTCTGATACAGTTGAACTTAACTAGAATCTCAAATTCAGCACAGTGATGATTAGTCTTAAATTTATGGCTGCAACATATGCTAACTTAGAGGCACAAAAGCCATGTATATGCTCTAAATGTCACAGATATCAGATGTCATGCAATAAATAAAAAGAAAGCTAAGCTTGAGTACCAAAAATCCTGCTTGTATGAAAAAAAATTAAAAAACAAAAGGGAAATCTTAGAAAATATTTGATTCAGTGACATGAATGGCAGTATCTGCAGCAGTCATATAGGTGTTAACACTAAAGTATAATAGGTGAATGGGACAACACATATATAGATAATTCATAATAGAGGAAAGATATCCAATAGGCAGAGATGATCACTGTATCTGTCTTTACCAGAATATAAAGAATTGCAAACCAAAACAAGATATCACTTTTTTCTCTTATCAAATTAACGAAGACAAAAAAAAAATCAACTACATACTGTAGAAGAGACCTACCAGCTTTATATAGTTGGTGGCAGAATAACTAGATGAAAGTTGACACTATATCAGAACCTTTAAAAAAATTTACACGGCTTACATATTCCTTTCACTTCTGGAGTACAACTAAATAATGTTTAATTTTGAGACTGGGGAGATAGTATAGCAGGTAAGCACTTACTTTGCACGCACCTGACCCAGGTTCAATCCCCAGCATCCCATATGGTCCTCCAAACACTGCGAGGAGTAATTCCTGTGTACAGAGCCAGGAATAACCCCTGAGTATCGCTGGGTGTGGTCCAAAAACTAAAAAAAGAAAAAAAAGAGTTTAATTTTCAAATTAACAAAATTTTTTAAGCATAGTTAAAAGTTTTTTTAAATTCTAAATATTTAGGGATTGGCTACATAAATTGTTGTTTCTTTGCTCTGACTACTATTGAGATATGGAAAATATTTTTGAAGATTCTGTAATATGGAAAACTCTGTGAATGAATAAATACTATACTAAGTGAATAGTATACAATAAATAAATACAGTTAAGGCTCTGTTCTGAATACTGGAGCTTTTTTTTTTTTTAACTACATTTTTTTTAAATGGAGTTAAACCAATTCCAAATCTCAAAGAACTTAGACCAAGGAAATAAAGCCAATGAACAGAGCCAGTAAAAAGTGTAATGACGTGTTTTAAATGCTCTGTTGAAAAATATGCAAGTTACAACAACAACCCAAAGAGATGGTACATGGTATGCTGAGTTCTACATGTGTGGAGTCATTTTTTTGTGACTCAAATCTTTAAGAACTGAGTCTTCAAGATTTATGAGGAGGGAGAATGAGTACAATTACTTAGATCAGTGTTCTTCAACCACTGGTCCACAGGTGTAGAAAGATTGAAAACCACTGGTCTGCTACCTTGATTTTAACAATTTTAACGCTCATCCATCAACTGGTATATAGAACAGGACAAGTCCATAGGTCTGAAAAGGTTGAAGAAAGCTCATTTAGTTAGAACCAGCTGTGTAGGCAAAGATACATTTCACTGTATACAATATATGAATCACAGTAACAGTCCATTTATAGAAAAACTTTTCTTACAAAATTTAACCTACATATTTTAATGTATGTTAAAGTAAGTAATGTATGTAATGTAAGAGAACAGTGCAGTCTCCTGCCCTCGCGCCTGGCTGTCCTCGCCGGGGCCCCTTGGAGGGGAGCGGGGAGCGGGTTGAGCTTTCCTCCCCACCCCGACCAGGGCTCTGGCAGCCGAAGACCTCTAGGACCAGCCACCACCATGCTGAGACCACTCTCCGCACACCTGAAGGTACCGGCAGAGGAACAAAGGCAAGCGGGCCCCGGGGCTGAGATCTCCAAGCCTACTCGGATCGGGGCTGAGCATCCTCCACCCAGATCCTCCAAATTCCAGTAGGCGGGGGTCACACCCACCAACTGGCCCCCTGGCGCCGTGTAATCCCATCAACGGCCAAGACTCAGAGACTATAAAACCCAGCTCCCGACATCTTATTATGACATCTTATTATCTCATTCCTACTTTGGACAAACTGGCAGGCTACCAAATGTAACCTGCCCGCACGGCAGAGTCTGGCAAACTCCCTGTGGCGTACCCAATATGCCCAATACCAGTAACAATGATGGGTCTCATTCTCCTAAAGAGCCTTGAATATAACACTTTCTTAAAAATCTCAGGGCTAGGATGAAGGAGACGTTACTGGGGCCTGCTCGAGGCAATCGACGAATAACAGGATGGTCGTGATTTGTCGTGATTCGTGATTTTAATGTAAATATTTTTCAGGATTTTTCCCTTTTTAAATGCTTTCCCTACTGTAAATATAACTTTACAATTAATTAGGAATCGGCTTATATACAAATAATGTGCACCAAGATATGGACTAAATTTTTTAAACTAGTGATACATAAAGATTTACCAACTTTATCACTTGATCACTTGATTTCCCGTTAATCGTCAATTTGCTCGAGCGGGCGCCAGTAACATCTCCATTTGTCCCTGTCGCATGATAGTGTAGCCCAATGGAGTCTGTTTGCTCTAGGAACATGAAGACCCTCAAACCAATCGTTCATGATCTTGATGAAGAAGTCTGACCATCTGGTAGGTGGGTGGCCACACGGTCTTTTGACATCCCGTGGAATCCAGTTGGTAACTGCTCTAGTCCAGCAGTCGTCTTTAAATCTCATTACGTGACCAACCCATCTGATTTTAGACACCTTGGCAAACAAGACAGCATCCCTGATTCTTGATTGTCGACGAATGTCGGAACTCCAGATTCTTTCTCTTATTTGAGTGAAACATGATATTCCAAGCATAGCTCTTTCAATTCCTCTTTGGGAGACCCGAATAGCGTTCTCATCCTGTTTGCGTAGGGCCCAGGTCTCTGAGGCATATGTTAATGCAGGAAGAACAGTGGAATCAAAGAGATGTGCCCGGAGCCGGAGGTTCTTCGTCCTCTTAGCTATTTCTTCGACGTTCTTGAAGGCGTTCCAAGCCGCTCTCTTCCTCCTGCGCAGCTCGGGTGCCAGGTCATTTGTCATGTTGACCTCTCGACCTAGGTACACATAGCTGTGGCATTCGGAGATGGTCGTTCCATTGAGAGCGAATGGGGCGTCAGGAACGAGGCTGTTTCTCATAAACATTGTCTTCGTAAGATTCAGCTGTTGTCCTACCTTTCCACACTCACGGTCAAAGTCGGCCAGCATTTGTGCCGCTTGGCTGATGTTTGGTGTTATTAAAACAATGTCATCAGCAAAGCGGAGGTGGTGTAGTTGCCGACCATCTATCTTCACTCCCATTCCTTCCCATTCCAGTCGTCACATGATGTTCTCGAGGATGGCACTGAAGAGTTTCGGTGAAAGGGTATCACCCTGCCACACCCCTCTCTTGACATCAATGATTACTTCTTTGTGGAATGGTGAGATCCTGGTAGTGAACCCACAATACAGCTCACGGAGGATCTTGATGTATTGAGCTTGAATGCCCTGATTGGCTAGGACTTCAATGGCTGCTTCTGTCTCAACAGAATCAAAGGCCTTCTTTAAATCAATTTACCAACTATATTTGATATTCCCAAAATATTGTTCATTGAATGAGTAGCTAGACCCATGCAGAGAAAGTTTGTTCCCTTTCCTCTCCATCAAATTTCAGAATGCTAGTACTACTATTAATAACAAGATTGATCATCCTGAAAACAGGAGAACAACATAAAATGCTGCCTATTGAGAAGGGTCAATATGTAGAAGAGTAGAATTGTTCTCTTTTTTTCTGAAAGCCATTTTTAAAATCACTGTATGATAGAACTGGAGCAATCTAAACGGGAAATTGTGAAATGGTAAGTCTCTCTCACTGGCCATATTTGAGCACAATCTGGAAAACCATCTATCAGGGTCCACAGATCTGTTGATATTGTGCAAATTTAAAATAGGCTAGCCGTATTAAGGAATTCAAAAGAAAAGTTTCACATGAAATTTCCCTTGACCAATAGCTGTCAAAGGATCATCAAGTAGTAGCATCAGCATTGAAATCTTTAGGTTCCATAACCTACTGAATAGAAATTTATAGGCCCAGTATTGTATGTTTTAACAAATCCTCCAGGTGATTTTTGTGCTAACTTTAAGAAATTTCTGTCCATATCTTTTCTTTGTCAATACAGTTTATTAAATGATCAGCACAGTGTGAAAGCCATCATTATTATTGCATATGCTCAGTATTATTCTTGCCATAATGTATTTCTGTATGTCTCTTACAGGACTAAAGTTCTTGTATTTTTTACAGGTGTTGGGAAATCTTCATTAGTTCACCTTCTGTGCCAAAATCAAGTGCTTGGAAACCCATCGTGGACAGTGGGCTGCTCAGTAGATGTCAGAGTATGTCTTTCTTTCTTCCTTCCTTCCTTTCTTCCTACCTTCCTTCCTTCCTTTTTTTTTTCTTTGTTTTTTGTTTTTTGTTTTGGGGCCACACCCAGCAGTGCTCAAGAGACCACATGAAGTGCTGGGGTATGATCCCAGGTCGGTTGTGTGTGAGGCAAGCGCTCTGCAAACTGTACTATTACTCCAGCTATATGAATGTGTTTCTTATATTTTAATTTCTAGTACTCATATTAAAGATAATTCCTCCAAAATACATTGCTTCATATTAACGATGATTCCTTCAAACTACATTGCTTCAAATTGATATACAGAATTTAAGAAAAATAATAATAATAAGGTAAAGGTAAGGTAAAAGCCCTCCCGTTGATCATCGATTTGCTCGAGCTGGCCCAGTAACGTCTCCATTGGAGACTTTGTTGTTACTGTGTCTGGCATATCGAATACGTCACGGGGAGCTTACCAGGCTCTGCCGTGCGGGCGAGATACTCTCGGTAGCTTGCCGGGCTCTCCGAGAGGGGCGGAGGAATCGAACTCGGGTCGGCCATGTTGGCTGAGTGCAATGCAAATGCCCAACCCACTGTGCTATCGCTCCAGCCCATATAATAATAATAATAATAATAATAGCTAACTTTTATTAAGTACCTTAGGTGCTCAGTGGTGATGGGAACAGAAAGGAATGATGCAATGCCAGGGATGAACTCAAAGTTCCCAATGCAAATCAAGTACTCTACTTTCTGAGCCATCTCCTCCTCACTCCACTCTGCAAATTCTTGGCATGACTTTGCTTATTTCAGCTATAGGCTATCACAGCATTGACTAAGATATAAAAGAGTAATTACTAAATTCATTCAATTCATAAAAAGCAGAGTCAAGATTTAATCCCAGGTAGTCTAGTGTCAGGTATTTTAGTTTTAATTACTACGCTATGTATCCAGAATTAATGCTCCATAAATAATTCTCTATAAACCTTTGCCACTAAGACAGTCAACTTTGTTTTTTGGGGTTTTTTTTTCCATTTTTTATAATTTTATTTATTGAGAGCAGTTACAAAGCTTTCAGGCTTAACTCTGGGTCATACAATGAAACATCTGTACCTTCACCAGTGCCCATTCTCCACCCCCAAAAACCCCAGTATACCCCCTCCCATACCCTCCCCTTACCTGTGGGGCAGATGATTTCCACATTACTCTCTCTACTTTGATCACATTCAATATTTTGACACCAGACCCACCATTATTATTTGGAATTTTACCCCAACACTCAGATCTGCTGAAAAGGCAACAGTAGACCATTTGTTTTCTATTGCTGGTTATGAATAACTTATGATGTTGCGTGGCTGCAGTAATGGCCACATGATTTTGAAATTACGAAATTTTGACAATTAAATCTGTAGAAATTTCTGCCAAAACCTGCTGGGTTCCAAGATTTGTTCCTGAGTTTCTGGGATCATGGCCGTTAAGCAGATCAGGAGCCAGAAAGGCCGTTCTTGGGCTACCACTCGGGATCTTGTTGGAACAGGGAGGAAAGGGCCAGCTCCACCCCCATTCTGTGAGGCCCCGCATGTCTCATCACTGAGGGCCCAAACCTGACTGTCCAGTGGACTCTGGAGAATGGTGGCCACCAAGCCGCCAAGGGGGAGCAGGCAGAGGGACAGCACCCTTTCCCCTCTGGGATGGCCTGGTGACAGTAACATATTGCGGGGTCCAGATGCATTTCTGCCAAAAGCTGCTGGGTTTCAAGATTTGTTTCTGAGTCTCTGGGTAAAACAGTTAACTTTGGACTAGAAATACAGTGGAAAGACAAACATCATCTGGAGCTTAACATCTAGATCATTTGGTCCCCCGCACATTTAAGAAACAAGATGTAGTTTTCACTGAATTAAATGTTTTCTTAGACATTGTTGGGTTTTGCTAATCTTATGTTGACCAAACAGAGTCTTTCTTCCCCTGGCATGCTTCACTCATTAAGTCAGAAAATAGGGAAAGAACTATTTCTTCTTTCTCCATTTATTTAGTAATTTATTTGAGGTGCCAGGAATAGAATCCAAGGCCTCAGACATACAAGACAAATGTGCTACTACTAAGCCCTATCCCCAGTCACCCTTTATTTCTGCAATTTCTTGAATATCTTTTGCCTTAATTATTCGTTTCTTTTATTTGGGGCAGGATTTAGGGCTACACCAAATAGAATTTCTGACTCTGTATTCAGGTCACCCCTAGTAGTGCTTAGGGAACCATATGCAGTACCAAGGATCACATTCAAGGCAATCACCTTACCCCTAGTATTATGTCTCTAACCCTATTATTTGTTTCTTAATCTAGCAAACTAAGAAAGGAATGGTAGTAAACCAGATTGGCAGTTATTTTTCTTCAGTTGTTTGTTTTGGGGGGAGCAGAGGTAGTGCAAGGTGTGAGCCATATATCCAGTGGTGTTCAGAGGCTAGCTACTCTTGTCTCTATACTCAGGGGTCACTCTTAGCGGTACTCAAGAGACCATATGTGGTGCCAGGGATTGAACCAGGGTCAGCCACATGCAAGCCAAGTGCTGCACCTGCTTGACTTTCCCCTCCCAGTTCTTTGAAGTTGTTATTGAAGACTTCTTTGAAGTCTATTACATTGTTGCTGGTTAGACGTCTTCTGTCAGTCTAATTTTTATTCCTTTTTAAGGTAATTTTTCTTTAGCTAGTTTTAAGAGCTTGTTCTGGTAATCTTTGATGTGCTATAGTTTGCTGACCTATGTTTAGGTGTGGATTAGACTTAGTCATTCTGTTCAGAAATTACTGTGTTTCTCATGTCTCTTTATTTTATAAAACTTTGACTTATTATCTGTCTACAAAATATTTAGTTATTAATGTCTTTCCACATTCCTTTTTAGTCTCCTTTTGAAATTTATTTAGATTTTTGTTCTCCACAGCTTTTAATTACACTTTCTTGTTTCTCTTCTGTATTTCTCCTTAATGTAATATGGGTGATAATCATTTCTGCTCTCCATTTAATTAAAGAATCTCTTCATCTTTGTCTAATTTTTTTAGGTTTTTGGTACAGTTTTCAATCACTAAATATTCCTTTTGATTCTTTTACAAATGTCAATTTTTTTCAAACTATATCAATTTTTCATTATAATTTTTTTCTTTTTATTCTAATTACCTTCAGCATTTCTTTATGGTTTCTTTTTCTTGCTATTGTTTTGGGGAAACAGCAGATAGTGGTCAGAATGTATTCCTGGCTCTGTGCCCAAGGATGATTCCTAATAGTGCTCAGGGGAATATATTCAGTGCCAGTGATCAAACCAGGGTCAACAAGACAAGCTCCTTAACCCCTGTGCTATCTCTGTGGCCCTGTTTTCTTTTGTTGTTTGTGGGGTTTTTTTATGTGGATGCATGTGATTCATGACATTTTCTTTTTTATTTTGGGGCTACTCCCAGCTGTGCTGAGGGCTTACTCCTTGCCTGCACTCAGGGATTATTGTACATGGAAATGGGCAGCATATGAAGTGCTAAGAAATGAACCCAGGTTCTCTGTATGTAAGACAAGCTCCCTACCTGCTATATTATCTCTCCAGCCCTGGTAGCACTGTAGCACTGTCCTCCCGTTTATTGATTTGCTCGAGCAGGCACCGGTAACATCTCCACTATGAGACTTGTTACTGTTTTTGGCATATCGAATACACCACGGGGAGCTTGCCAGGCTCTGCTGTGCGGTCAGGATACTCTCGGTAGCTTGCCAGGCTCTCCGAGAGGGATGGGGGAATCGAACCCAGGTTGGCCACGTGCAAGGCAAATGCCCTACCTACTGTGCTATCACTCTGGCTCTGGTACTTGCTTATTACTTAGATACCATAATTTACAACAGTTTTAGTATTAATGTTTCAGGAATGCAGTCTTGCTGCACCACACCTGCCACTAAAATATCAATATCTGTCCACCACTGTCACAAGATCCTCTTTTATTATTCCCTACCCTCACTTAGCAAACTTAGTTCTATAGGCCAACTCTCAAGTCTATTATCATTGAACATTATTTGTTCCTTTGCTATGTTTCGTTATACTCCAAATTTGAATCCAATATTCAGTACTTGTTCTCCCATTGACTCACTTCAGCATTTTATCCCAGTCTCATCCAACTTGTGATGAACTGCAAGATTTTTTGTCTTTTCTTATAGCTGAGTACTATTTCACTATTTATTACAATTTCTTTATCTACTCATCTTTTTTTTGGACACTTGAGATGTTTCCAGGTCTAGGATACTCTGAATAGGTGAACATAGAAGTGCAAGTATCTTGAACTTGCAAGATTAATTTTCCAAGTTTTGTTTGTGTAATTAATGGTAAGCATACATTTATATCACCCATTAGATTTAGGGCTATGGAAATAGGACTAGGAATGAAGAGTGCCACAAAATATAACATTTTTTATTAATATAGGAGTTTTGCTCTTTATTCAGCCATTGATTAAGCTGATTAAATTGGGCATAAGCCCGGCAAGCTACTGAGAATATCTTGCCCGCATAGCAAAGCCTGGCAAGCTACCCATGATGTATTCAATATGCCAAAACACAGTAACAAGTCTCACAATGGAGACGGTTCTGGGCCCACTTGAGCAAATCGATAAACAATGGGAGGACAGTGCAATGCTAAGCTTCACATAATTTTTTTAAATTTTTAATTGAATATTCATGAGATAAACCATACAGCACCCATCCCTTCACAGGTGTACCCTTCCCACCACCAATATTCCTATTTCCCGACCACCATCCCCCAGCATTCCACCCCCAACCTCCCTCTATTGCAAAGCACTTTCCTTCTTGCTCTCTCTCACCTTTTCCTTTTGTGTGTTATGGTTTGCCATAGAGGTGCTAAGAGGTCATGGTGTTTGTTCAGGGCATTCAGTATTTTTATCAGGACAGTAAGGCTAGAGTAGCTTTTCAAATTGGGTGGCCATTTTGGGGTATGGATATGACTGCCAAGGTTTCTAGAAGTAAAGGGAGGTGGGGAGAGAT